TGTGTATTTCTTTCTAATGAATGTTAGATTTCTCACTCTTAAATAAAAAAGCAACACAGTGGAGACAAGAAAGATACCAGGTTCCTTTGTCATGACAGGTTTTCAGGAATCATTAAAGCTAATGTAACCTTATAATCCTAGTTTGCCTGTTACATAAACTAACCTGTACATGGCCATGGAAGACTATTTGTTAAAACTGGATTCCTCAGAGACACATGCACACTGAGCATAAACTTCAGCTCCCTTTTTCATCATGTCTGAAATGTCCAATAATTCTGTTCTTCCTTTGTCCTCCCAAGTTTGTGATCATGCAGAGCTTCTCACACACCGTCTTCAACAAAAGGCTTGTCAGGCTTTGTCTTCCAGATTTAGGTCCAATACTTAAACATGACAAATTCCCAGCTGATGGTCGTGCCCGCTCATGTCCCCACCACAGGGCCTCGCTTGAAACAACTGGTTTAAAACAGCACATCAGTATGTCCAGACCTCTTCACAGGGTGACTGAGGGCTGGTGTCCACCACCTCGTGAACAGGGAGGGCCCACAAGACCACAGAGGGAAATCGATGCTATGTTGTTCAGAAATCATTACAAATGGAAACCATCCTCTACACAGCACTTATTTCATTTACAGCTAAGCTCCTGCCCTTCGTCCATATTTTTGCTGTTGTTTTGTTTTGATATTTAAAGCATATGTGTCATTATCAGCAGTTTTTCAAAAATTCTTTTTTTGCTTTCTGGAGTAGCAATGTCAACCACAGCAAAAATCAAAAATGAGCGCCATACAAAAAAAATACAAAGAATTTGGAAAAAGAAAAGAATTTCTATTAAATAGGTATTGTTATTCCTTTGAGAGAGCTTAGGGGTAAGATTTGTTTTCCCCCTCACTGGGATTTCTTATTTTTATTGCTCCTGGTTCATTCTTAATTTTATTCCTTATGGTTATTTTTTTCTGCTTAAGTAAAAAATTTTTTAGATTATTGCTTCTGTGTAGGGTTGAGAAAAAGTAAAATGTTTTTATTCAGCCATTTAATATCTGGTCTTTAAATGACCTCCTGTACTCCTTTATTCATAAACAGAATAGTGAGACTCCCAAGAAAAGTAGAAATAATCTGGTTGATAATTTTACTTTTTCTGTAAGATGAGCCTTGCATTCCAGACTTATTTGCTTTTCAGGACACCAGACATTTTGACTATTTGACCATCTGCTGCATATTTGAAGTAAATGTCAATCCTAAGTTTTTATACCATTCAGAGGTATAAAGAGATATAAACCTGAAAAGAATGTCTGAGAGGGATTTTTGGAAGGAATGTGCTGAGAAGTTATCACTTTTTTCTTGTACTCAGCTCTCTAGATAGTCACACTGGTATTAAAAGCATCATATTGTACAATGTAGACTGTCTGGTGGCGCCCATCATGACGATACGTATTTGCAGATGTGTCTTCTAGGTGTTATAATGTATTTCAGGCATCTTTTCTCATCACAATCCCATGTAACCACTGGCATGCACTGGAGAGATGGCTTTCCGATGACTGGGATGTATTGGTGGCAGACACAAAGCTAAGACTTATATGATCCTAAAGGCTATGAGAAAATCCTGCAGTTTTCTGGCCACAGCCCAGAGGAGACAGATGAATTTTTTCCTCAATATCATGTGGCTGATTTGAGGGTTCAACACCTTCTCTAGTAGAGTTCCACATGTTTTTGGAAGTAGTAGAAAGATTACGCCTCTGGGCACCGTCAAGATATACATGGTGAATCTTGTTTGTTTGTATGCATACGTGTATTTGTATGTGCATCTGTTTATCAGTGTGCATGTGTGTTTATATGCCTGAGTATGTGTGAGTGCATGTGTGTATTAAGAAGAGGTTGAAGAATTACTTCTAAATTGCCAATTTATTACCACTAATTCCAAATGATGAAATAATGGAATGATTTACTCTGAATACCCATATGAGGAGAATGTGTTTGCATACATGATCTGTGCAAAAACATATGATGGACATCATGTAAAGCGTATGTCTAAAGTAGCTTTTATTGGAGATATCATAGAATTCAAGCATCTGCTGTGTTTATCTTTAAATTTTAATATGCTGATTTATCTTTATGTAAATGTATCAGTATGGTTGTTTTTAAGCTCTGATGTTAAGATCATGGCACTCAAAGTTTCCCAAGAGATAGAAAATATGAAGACCCTATTTATAAGTAAGCGATAGACTTTATGTCTAAGAAAAACTTTCCTGTGGATAGCATTTTAATAGATGCCTTGTTAATTATCATAATGCTTTGGTAAAAGTTTTCATTAGACTATAAACATCAGTTGTTCTATGGAGAACAGTATGGAAGTTCCTTAAAAAACTAAACATAGAACTACCATATGACCCAGCAATCCCACTACTGGGCACAAACCCAGAGAAAACCATAGTTTAAAGACACATGCACCACAATGTTCATTGCAGCATTATTTACAATAGCCAGGTCATGGAAGCAAACTAAATGCCCAGTTTGCTGGGCAGATGAATGGATAAAGAAGATGTGGCACATATATACAATAGAATATTACTCAGCCATAAAAAGAAACGAAACTGAGTTATTTATAGTGAGGTGGATAGACCTATAGTCTGTAATACAGAGTGAAGTAAGAAAGAGAAAAATAAATACCATATGCTGACACATATATATGGACTCTTAAAAAAAAAAAAAGGTTCTGAAGAACCTACGGGCAGGACAGGAATAAAGACGCAGACGTAGAGAATGGACTTGAGGATACAGGGAGGGGGAAGGGTAAGCTGGGACGAAGTAAGAGAGTGGCATGGATTTATATATACACTACCAAATGTAAAATGGATAGCTAGTGGGAAGCAGCCGCATGGCACAGGGAGATCAGCTCGGTGCTTTGTGACCACCTAGAGGGGTGGGATAGGGAGGGTGGGAGGGAGACTCAAGAGGGAGGAGATAATGGGGATATATGCATATGTATAGCTGATTCACTTTGTTATAAAGCAGAAACTAACACACCATTGTAAAACAATTATACTCCAATAAAGATGTTAAAAAAAAATCAGTTGTTCTAAAAGTGTGGTCCACATCAGGATCACTTGGGAATTTATTTGAAACACAGATTCTCAGATCACACCTCAGATCTACTAATTGCGCCCAACAACTTGCAGGTGCTTCTATTGTGGGCTAAAGTTTTTGAGAACTTCTGATGTAAGGCATAATACAATATGGCCCTAGTAAAGATATTCATACTGTCACAAATGTTAAGTACCCACCCTACATACAAGGGCAGTAAGGAGAGTAAGAACTACTTTGTTGAAAATAATTAAGGATAAAGTGAATTATAGCATTTTTATATACAAATAGTCCAACAATTATGCAGATTTAAATTATCCACCTCTGCAATCCATTGTAATTCTTTCTGGACACAGACACAATTTATTCACTAACACCAGACTTCCCTGGTGGTCCATGCTTCCAATGCAGGGGGCATGGGTTTGATACCTGGTCAGGGAACTAAGATCCTGCATGCTGCAGGGTGTGGCCAAGAAAAAAAAAAAAAGTGGATGAGATATTCACTAACACCATCCCTTATCTTATAATAATAACTTGAAAACAATACTCATTTAAAAAATCCTTCAATATTACTTCCAAACATATCCACATTTTCAGTAAATGTATAGTTTAAGGATTCAGATGAGCTGCTGGGTAAATGCAAGTACAGAAGATGGGTGTCTTTTTTCCTTCACAGTTTCCCATGACTCACTGTGTGTGTGTGTTTAAGAAGCCAAAGAATAGATATTCTAGAATGTCACTACTTAATAAATATCTATCTATATTCCACAACTTACCACATTGTGCTTCCTCCATTTTTGGATGAAAAAGACTGACATATATTATAAAGTGGAAACTTCTTCCATTATGATGGCAAGATGTTTTTCTCCTCTCAGTATTTCCAACCACCTAGTCAGGAACAGCATTTGACAATTCATCAATACAGTATTCAATTCAAATTCTAAAAAATGAATTGAGAACGTTTCACTGGGACAATAATAAACTAATGAGAATTGACAGATAATGCAATTTTTTCTTTTTTTTTGCTAGAAATGATTTTGGTTTACATAAGGAACAGTAATTCACAAGGGTGGACTGTGGCATAAAAGGGAAAATTTCGGAAGTGGGTAGCCTTCCAAAAACATCATAAAATTCAAAGAAAACTAGAGTTCACTGAAAAGAGTCTCTCCCATTTCATGCATTGGTGTCTAAAGATTATCTTTAGATTAATCTAAAGGAATCTTTCAAATGTTCAGTGTTTACGCTTTTTCTATTAAAATGCAAGCATCTCCTGGGACTGCATGCCCACTATCAGCTAACACCATGACAATGTTTGCTAAGTAAGGACTTGTGCTAATGGACCAAAGAAAATGTTCTGAGGAATGTGGGTAGTTGAGTGGACAACAAGGAAAGGATGATAACTGCTATGGAGAAAATGTAGGACACTTAGAAACAAATCATATATTTTATAATTTCTTGGAGAAACTTTCAATGTCATACTACACTAAAAATTTTTGGCCTTTAATGTATGGGATGCTGTACTGGCCCCAAACTGAAAAGAATGGTTTGTAACATACAGTGGTTGTACAATTTTTCCTTGTTTTTCAAAGTGTAAAACATTCTGAAGGTCATCCCTTCCTCCCAGTATGATTATTTTTTATTTCACAAAAATCAGTTAATTTGGAGGAGAGCGAAGCTGTATGTCAATGAATTGGTTGCAATCTCATCAGGCAATCAGACGTGAGATCAACACAGCTGTTGGAACAGAAACAGCCAGGACGATTCTAGTTAGAGGACTGTCAGGAACACAGAGGCAAAAAGCATTGTTGTCACGTGGGGTGACACCAAAGATTTATTAATATATTCCTCCAAGAGATATTTAAAATAAGTGCTATGTTTCCAAAGATTATGACACAGTGTAATAGTAATTCTTTCAAAATTGGGTGTATAAAATCTACTTTTGATACTCTGAAGCAACATATACCATATTACATACTCAGACTTTGTGTATAATATATTTATTTGCATACAGAAATATGTATTTCTATTATACATTTTATAACTCTATTTATAGAATATGTATATTAAGCATACAGCATATTCCAGGAAGATACATCAAATATGCACACAGTTCATGCTGTAGCGTGCACCCTTTTAAGAGAAGCATATTTAAGAGGCATGGTATTATATATACATGCTGAACATACATTTTGCACAATTCATCCAGCTTTGGGTGCTTCCCTAATCTATTTGCAACGCCAGTGCTGTGATTGTTGAAAGGGATACTATCAAACTGGGGAAAAGGCAACTACCAGTGAACTAAGTAGGAGAAAATAAAAGTAGATTGCATTTCTAAGTATATGTTGCCATCGTTTTGAACTCCCGTCTCTCCCGATGTCAGATGTTTAGAGTCAAAAAAGTGGTGAATGGAAAAAGAGCAGGATTATGTGGGACCTCCAGCTTTGACACTCAAACCAGAAAGCTTATCTATGTGGCTTATTATACTGATGACTTTGTCCTACCACTTGGGAGCTGACATTAAATTAATGATGAACTGGTAAAAAGGCAATCATTTCTTTTTTCAAGAAATGAACTAGCTTTTTCACATTCTTAAATTCCTCTTCTTAGAAGACCGCTCTGGGATATTTACATTATTGCTATGAGGAAAGAAGAAGTTCTTGACAGATATTTACCTTTCCAGTGAAGATAAAGGAGATGAATCATAATGTTTCTGAAAGAGGCTGTTAAGGTTTTTGACAGGAAAAATAGCAGCTCCAATAGAAAGTGAACATATCAACTGCAACCATTTTAATAGCCAACTACTTCAACTTCAATTGACTGGACACTGTGGCAATCGTAAGTGGACATTAAGATGTTGGAAACAATGTGCTATGTGCATGGTCTGGTGATTTTGGCTATATAGATGTGTCTTGTGTTCCCAGTCTGTGAATTACAAATACACCAGACTCAACGGATGACAGTGTGTCTGATACATGATTGGTGAACATTAACCTTTTTCAAACAGATGAACAATTTGCATTGATATTCTAAGAGTTAAACAGGATTATTTTCCCACTTATATAAAGCAAGCTCTCGAATCCCTTAAAATAGGCCAGGGTTTCTCAACTTTGGCACTGCTGACATTTTGAGCCAAAAAATTCTTAGTTGTGGGGTCTATCCTGTGCATTGTAAGCCGTTTAGCAGCATCCCTGGCCCCTATATTCACTAGATGCCAATAGCCCTCTCTCAAGTTGTGACAACCAACAATGTCTCCACACATTGTTAAATGTCCCCTGGGAGGAAAAATGGTCCCTAGTTGGGAGCCACTGAAATAGACAAATCCAGCAATAGTTAATGCAAGCCTTTGGATGCAGTCTCCATATCTTTCTAATCATCTACTATTTTCAGTATTCTTTCCATTTTTCTGATTCCGGTTTACAAAGCTTCCATGATGTGTCAGTCTATATTCAATTCCTTTCTTTAATTTTTGATTGTTTCTCTTTCAATAAGGTTGTGGTAGATACGGTGGAGATCAAGAATAGAAGGAAGAAAGGAGAGCATGTGATGGCAATGGAGAGTAAGAGGCAGTTGGATTCACGATGAGCTGGACTGCTAGAGAAGGCAAAAAAGGACCCAAATCCTGAATCCTCAATCCTTGAATCCAAAGAGTTCATCCCAACTAAAGTGATACGTTGACTTGAAGAAACAAAATAAAAATAAATATGGATCTTAAATGTAAAAGTTTACATTAAGGTAGAATAAAGATATCTGTATGAACTGATGCTGTATGTTTATAAATAGAAGATTTAGTTGGGGAAGAATGACTGAAGTTGTTGAAACAAGAAGTTATTTTTATAAAGGATAAGTTATATACAAAAATTATTGGCAATTTGCTTCTTACTAATTGCTCTTTTTTGTTGTTATTTGCCTTGTGCTTTTTTTTCAGCTCCCCAAAGTTTTGAGATGCCATCAGTGAGGCAAGTCACACAAAATAACTCTAATTGAAGTGCTAAAGTCTAATACTGACAAATTCATCATGCAACTCACATGGATATTACTGGTCAAGTTATCATAAAGCCCATAAATCTAAAATGTAAAATTTGTAAAGGGTTTTTATAAATTTGATTTCTATTGATTGGGCCATCTTTAAAAAATCTGATTGGAAGACTATAGCAAATATAGTAAGAAAAAAAAGTTGAGGGGTAAAAATAACTAAGTGTGAGTCAATATAATTGTATATTTATTTGGGGTACCAATAAAAAGTCTTACATAGACAAGATTTATATAAAGCGCCGTTGGGTAATCGTTTCTGATGTGACTCTTCTATGGGCTAGAATTTTTAAAAATGGTGAGAAGTGGCACAGGTGCAGCCACTTATATTCTTTCAGATTTTGCTGAGCTCACTTGGCCTGTTTAGGTATCCATAACATTTCTGCCATAAAGATTACTACTTCTATTGACAGAATTTTGAAGTTAAAAAATTTTACGGAGAACTGATGATTTGAGGGGAAAAAAAGGTGGTTTCAGTATATGTTTTTTAATTACTCTATTTTTTTTTCCCTCCATAGGTCATAGGATGGTTATAAACCTCACTTATCTGTAAGTTGAATATCATCCTTTAGCAAGCATTGAGGAGAAGGTCTTATTCTCTTGGGACTGACCCAAAAGTCATTGGTGCCACATGAATAAGTTAATCCTATTTAAGTTTCCAGATGAATAAAGCAGCATCTTCCTGCTGACAAAGGCCAGGAGTTCATGTTTACAAGTTAGCATGTCATACACAGGTTAGGCAGATCAGGTTGAAACAGGATGCCCTTTCAACCTTCTATTTTCTTATCTCAAAATTCACCCGCTCTCAGTAAACTTTCTCCAACAAGAATGACCATTGTTCAATTTGATGAAACCTCAATTTAAAAAATGACTTTGGTTTCTCAAGCATATTTATATATTACGTAGGCTATTCTATTAAAATAAGAGGCTAGTTTAGTAGAAAACCAGATTGGTGAAAATATTTCACATGAAGAATCATAAGTGAACTAAATCCTCATAGGGTTTTATACCCCCAAAGAATGTAAAAGACACAGTGGGCAGGGGTGAAATACCCTTTTTCATGGCTGTCTCCGTATTTAGTGAAAGTCCTGCAGATTTTGCCCTTACACAATGTAAAACAGGGAAGTATAAAAACCAATGCCATATGAGAAAAATAATGATGTAATGTAATTAAGTTTTTTGTTTGTTTTTGTTTGTTTGCTCTCTTTTGATGGTGGGAAAGGGAAAGGCAAAAAAAGATAAGCATTTATTATGTTGCAATTCTCCACATAAAACCAAAACAAGAGAATAATATATGTTAAACACTCCGGAGGCCATTTCTACATCCTTTTTTGATCTTCTTTGTTCACTTCGCCATTGTGTAATGGCTTTCTTTATCTTTAACTCTCCAGGTTAGTTTGTAACTGTGGCATTTCATCCTCATATGGACACTTGGGAACAAAAAAATGAAAAAAAGGAGTGAGGTTATTATTCTTTTTGTGCAGAGATAAAATTATAGATTCAGAAGCCCTTCTTCAAGAGAGTATGAGAAAGCATAGATCATTTCTTAAATCCACAGTTCCAACATGTCTCCTTAATGGTCTCCTTGCTCCTAAACTGACAGGGTTTATAAGGTACAAGTTTCAAACTGGAGCATAGGCACCATAAGAGTGTCACTGTTGGGCTCCTTAATTGCACATTCCATGATAAGACTATAAAGTGCAATGGCAGAGATCTGAAAACTAGGAGCTCTTTTATTCTGTTTCTTTTCGCCAAGCTCCCCTTGACTACCTTCTTTCTTTACAAAGATGTTTTACCTTGTGGCGCCTATGTTCTTATAATGACACATGAGAAGGTGTTTAAAGGTCTTCTTGAAGGTGGCATTACAAAGTGCATAGCAGGCAGGGTTGATAGTGCTGTTGATGTAACAGAGCCAATAACCAATTGTCCACACTGTGTTGGGGATGCAGGGTGCACAGAAGGTGTTAATGAGCACCATGACATTGTATGGGGCCCAAGTGATGATGAAAGCCAACAGAATGGCCAAGATCGTCCTGGTCACTTTCTTTTCCCGGGAAGGAGGAGGCTTCTTTTTTGCAGGCTGCTTGGTCATCTTTACAATCTTGCGAGCAACAATGTTCTGTTTTTCATTTCCATTCTGACCTGAAGAACCAACTACCTCCACGGTGGTATTAGTTGGGGTACATGAGTCACCTTTTTGGGTCTTGGTGACAATTTTGATGCATGTTTGCTTTGAGTTCTCATCTTTGGAGTGGCCCAGGGAAGTGGAAACTGTGTTTTCATCCTGGGTTATTTCATCATCTCTCATATTAGAGGCGACAGCACTGACTGAGGTGGAATCATTGGAGCTTTCCTTTTCCTCCCCCTGGACACAGTTTTCAGTCACAGCATCTCTGGGAGCTTTGCCGTTCTGGATTTTGTTGTGCTCCAGGCCATCATCACTGCCAGGCATGTTGTTGTTGTTTGGCTTCACTATCCTTCCTTGTACCAGACTTGGAGAAACTGGATCTTGATTGGCCACAGGCTCCTTTTTGTCCTTCTTTATCCTGCTCTTACTGGCTCGGGATATGTGCCAGTATAACACAGTCATGATGATCACAGGCAAATAGAAAGCTGCAATGGCAGTGCCAAAGGTGACAGCAGCATTGGAAAAAAACTGAATGTAGCATTCCCCATCCTCCACAGTTCTCACCCCTACAATGAACTGCCAGAAGAGAATGGCCGGAGCCCAGAGGATAAAGGAGAGAACCCAGGCGGCTGCAATCATCATACCTGCCATTTTTGTGGTCCGCTTGACGGGATAGGTGAGCGGTTTTGTGACGCAGAAGTATCTGTCAAAGCTGATGATGAGCAGGTTCATTACTGAGGCGTTGCTGACCACATAGTCCAGGGCTAGCCAAAGGTCACACACCACAGGTCCCAAAGGCCAGTAGCCAATCACAGTGTAAAGGGTGTACAGGTTCATGGAGAAAACACCAATGATGAGGTCAGCACAGGCCAAGCTGAACAAAAAGTAATTGTTGACGGTCTGGAGGTGGCGGTTGACTTTAATGGAGACCATGACCAGGATGTTCCCAATAATGGTCACCAAACTGAGGGACCCAGCCACAAGGACAATAAAAACCACTTCAAATGTCTTATAAGGACTGGTCAGAGCCAGGCCATTGTTAGAGGAGTTTGTTGAGTTATTCATTTTGTGTTCTCTAATCAGTAGCCAAGTAGCCAAATACACATTTAAACCTGCAGGGAAATAGAATAAAATTAACAAATACATAATATAAACATTGCTTTAAAATATATCAGATGCTCTCTTTTGAACTACAATTTTTACTCCAAAATCTTCCTTCTTTCTCCTACAAGTTTATTGTGACTACCTGCCTCAATTCCCCCTCTGAAAAGCAAAGACTTTAAATGAAGGATTCAAAAGATCCTTTCAGGCTGGCAATGTATTTGAAGTCTGATGACATTTTGAATATGTTCATATCTAGAACTGAATATCTATCTATCTATCTATCTATCTGTCATCAGTCAATTTAACTGAGCATAATACTGATGAATTGAACTAAATAAGCCAAAATTACACAAAAAACTTTCCAAAGCATCAGGAGGTTTCTGGTATAGACATAAAAATTAATAAACCAATAGGAAGACTAAATTATGGGGGAAGCATAAAACATATAACATTGTGTGTGACTTTTTCCACCAGGTTTCTCTAAGTGTTTTTCATAATAATACTGATAATGATAATAATAAAGATAATAATGATACTCCTTTTAGCCAATACATTCCCTCCAGTGAGTATTATTTTTTTCTGATCTCCATTTTACACTTGTAGTTAGTGTCACATAGCGTATTCTATGTAGTTAGCAATATTCCATATCCTGCAAAAGAAATTATTTATCAAATGTATATTGATATGATTATATGAATTTTCTGATTTTTTTTTTTCAAATCACTACCAAGTCTATTATCTTATTGTTCTTCCAGACAAATCTTTGGTACAGTCAGGCTAGAAATTATATTTGTTCAGCAGAACAGGGAACTGAAGCCCAGAAAGATTAACTAATTTATATAAGGTCACATATCAAGTCAATGACAGAGATAAGACTATGAACCTTAGTTTGTTCAATCATTCGCTCATTCACTTTGTCCTCACATACCTATTAAGTAACTCATGATTAAGCATTATGATATACTCTGGGTATTCCCTGATAATTAAGACAAGGTCCTTGCCTGGGAGAGGCATACGCTCTGGTGGCAGTGATGGGTTGGTAAAGGAGCAATTATTAAGCTGGAGTGCACTTTCTGCTGCCCAACCCTGTTGTGTCTAAGTAAACACACGTTCACCATTTTCAGATAATATCATTGAAGTCTGGAGACAATTGAGCAATCTTTCGTAAGGGACACTGGAAAGAAAGTTGAGTTTTATCAAATGAGCTATGACATATTTCTGGGGACACAACCTCTGAAGGAAGTGGCCCAAGTTGACAAAATCAATGAGTTGTGTGTATCAGAAAGTAAGCATTGTTGAGAAGTTATTTGTTGGCATTTTGAAATTGAGAAATCTCTATTTATTCAGGTCCCCATAATTACAAAGAAATACAGATGGGGCAGTGATTTTCCCTTGAAATTCATGTAGAAAATTACTTCATAGTACAAACAGCATTTAAATGAAATGGATTATTCTTCTTGGAAAGCAAGTTATCTTCAAGTATATTTTTAAAAAACAATAACTTAGGAGGAATTTGGCCTTAATAAACAAGACCCAAAACTCAGAAGCCATAAGAAAAATATATGTAAGCACTATATAATTATTTGAAATTTTTGCATAAAAAAAGTAAAAATAAAAATTGGGAAACAATATTTGTAAAAGCACATGATAAAAAGTTACCTAATGTCCTTAATATAAAAAAGTTTTGAAATGAAATAAGGAAAGATGAGAACACTAACAATCTAAAACATTGATACACTCGCTAGATGAAAGACAAATTAAATGTTAAATTTTAATCATATGAAAAGATATTCAACATCACAATGAAAAAATGCAAATATGTTGTCATTAGTTGGGATATAGGAGGTGGTTTAGTTATTCCATGACCTACTATCCTGACCCTGACTCATCATTCTAAGCACCCTAAAAGGCAAAGACACCCAAATCCAAGTCACCCATAGACAACTGTAATACAGAGTGAGAAAAGAAAATGCAGACACAAACAGCGGAAACCATTTCTTCATCCACAGTTGTTAAAATTATTGGACATTATTGGTTGGAGTTATTGGGGTAATTTCCTTGCAGGGAACCGTATCTATATCTCTAAAAATGTAAATACATTTATAAAAATTTAACATTGAAGAAACACTTGTCTCAGGAATACTACATATAGGAATTTATATTTCAGCTATAGTTAGAAAAATGTGCAAGAGGTCTACTCAAAGACGTCCATTCAGAAATATTATAGCAAAAAAACCACGTAGAAACATTAAAACAATTCATTGACAGAGGCCTCATCATAAATTTCTTAAGGAAAACATAAGGAATTTGAATTTAATCTCTAAGTCATGGAGGAACTTTGAAGAGTTTAATTAGGAAAGTAGTTTTGATGGAATGGAATTTACCATATTTTGTTTCAAAATTCTCCATATTCTGTTTTACCCATCTCTGTGAATCCTATTACCATCAAGTTAAAATTCTTAGCCATCTCCTGGCTTCCTGCCTCTCCCACACGTCCTGCAACCATGACCTGTCAACTCTACCTTTTAAGTATCTTCTGAAGTTATACCTTGTTCCCATTTTCACTCCCATTTCCTTATGTTAGGCCCTACTTACTCGTATCATTGACAGAATTAGACCCTTGATAAAATTTATAATCTTGCCCCCTTGCATCTTTCCAGAAGTATCTCAGAACTTCCCTAAATATTCCACATTAAAGGCAATTACATGCAGTTATCCAAACACAACATTGTATGTTACAACTTCATGCCATTTTCCATCCTTGTCTCGTATCTTCAAAGAACCTCCCCCGCATCCCCTCATCCTTACATCCTCACATTTCTCACCTGTCTGCCTCCTATTCAGCCTTCAGGCATCATCAACTCTATGAAACCCTTTTGATAGCTTTTAGCCTAGCTGTTTTTTCCACAGCATGCCTCATATCATTTTATTGTTCTGTTGCTCTTATTCTCCTGTTTGTCTAGAGTTATTTGAATATCAAGTGGAAAGCTGAGTAAATTATACTCCTCAGACTATACCCAACATCCTCATCAGTCTCTGCATGGTCCTCTTATTTTTATTTAATCTATGTTTTCCTTCTTTTCATTGTTATTTCTCACATCCCATTACCCCGTCTCTCCTTTAGAACTTGTTCAAGTTGCTTGTACTATTTCTTTGGCTAGATATGCAACTCTGGAAAATATACATTTTTGCCCTTATGATCTTAATTTATTAAATGATACTGTGTCTTAGATGTTGTTCTGTTTCTTTTTCATTCCATATTATGTTTTTATATTGCTCCAGCTATTTCAAATGTATTGCTTCTACTGATAATTCCATAGTGAGTAAATCATAGCATCTTTTCTGATACATTTCTCTAGTGATGGGCATGCAGTTTGCCTCAAACTGCTTGAAATGGTGCTGAAATTAAAACTTTCCTATTGTGTCATGGACTTGAGTTACAAATTTCCCTATCATATAATCCTAAGATAGGGACCAAGGCACTGGACGAAGGCATGGGTATAAGCCTTCTTCTGACTACAGTCATATTATTCTCTTGGATAGCTGCAGAGGATCCTACTCTGACCAGGTAAGTCCTGTTTCTTAATAACCTTTAAACAATTGTTATTATGCAACTTCGTAATACTTGCCAATCCCAGAGAGACAACATGCAGCTTTTTGTCTTAATTTCTATTTCCCTGATTACTAGAGAGGCTGAGCACTTTGTTTCCTACAGTTAGTAGCCTTTCAGGTTTCAGTTTTCGTAGATCCCCTGTTTAGACCTTTGACCCATAGGACACTGACTGATACACTGTCTATGTATTTTTCTTTGTCACTAACAAAACTGTGAATTTTGACTTCTGAGTCTTTGTAGCCCTACCATCCAGCTCACTGCCTCGAATATAACTGGTGCTCAAAAATGTTTGTTGAATCAATACAGGATCAACAATTAATAATATTAATTCAACCCCTATTTACCTAATCAGTGGAATTGTTTCAGTACCACTGCTTTTGGTCATTACTTATACAATTGTTTATTCATGTAATTTATTTGAACAAAATAATTTCACTAATCCAATCATTATTCTAATGATTCCTTATTAGCTAATATAACAGTAAGTTCAGAATTCTGACTTGCTTATAAGCTTGCTTTTGTCTATTCATTAGATAAGTTCATGGATATTTTTAGAATTGAGTTATATGTATGTTTCAAAATGTTCATTTTAATACTTTGATTGAAAAGTACCAAATATTAATTTTCCCAGTATCGTTTTTGACACTTTAATTTATTCTTCACACTCATTTTAATAAAACATAGAGCAATATTTATTTTATTTAAAAAATATTTTTGGTGACTTCCTCTGGAGAATTTTATATATATATATATAAAACATTTAAGTTAAAAAATAAACTAGCTTGATCTCTTATTTTATGGAAATAAGAAACTAAGAATGAGTAAGGGATTTGGTTCTTGCCATAATTTCTGCTAAAAACAATAACTATTATTATTCTAAAACTTTACAATAACATAAAGCTTCATGATTCTCATGCTTATGAGCATGCTTTAATTTTCAATTAAAAAATAATTGAGGGGCTTCCCTGGTGGCACAGTGGTTGAGAGTCCGCCTGCCGATGCAGGGGACACAGGTTTGTGCCCCGGTCCGGGAGGATCCCACATGCCGCGCAGCGGCTGGGCCCGTGAGCCATGGCCACTGAGCCTGAGTGTCCGGAGCCTGTGCTCCGCAACGGGAGAGGCCACAACAGTGAGAGGCCCGCGTACCGCAAAAAAAATAAAAAAAATAAAAAATAATTGAAAGAAAAAATAATCTTAGGACTCTAAACATGTTATCTCACTTCATATTAACAACTCTATAAAATATACAGAACAGGTCCTATCATCCCCTTTATCTTAAGAAGTAAGCTCAGCCTATACAAAGAGATTAAGTGAATTGTCTTGGTTTCAAGGCCAGTGAGTAAATGTCTGCAACTCAAATCAATGTCTTTACCCTTTGGTTAGATACTCTCTCTGTTTCTCTCCTCACTTGAGAATTATCCTTTACCCAACAGAGTTTGCTAGCTAAGACAGATTCCATTTCGGGGTCCTGGAATGCTTATTCAAGTAAAACAGTAAATTTATACAGTGTTAACATACTTAGTTGCTATCGTACCCTCTAAAATTTTAGAGTTATAATATTTACTTGTTTATACTAATGCTGTATGTAAAAA